GGCATAGCGGCGCGTGTATTTGCATGAAGGAAGGTGTGATATCCATAAAGCCGAGGATATCCGCGGATAGGACGGATACGGATAACCGTAAATCCCGAACCGTGCTTTGAGACAACACCACGGATTTATCCGCGGTTTACGGATTCGTTATAGATGTATACGGATAATATCCATAATCCGTGCTTTCTAAAACATTATTACGGTTTTCTTTTTAAAATCCGTGTATTATATTTACAACAACGGATATCCCAACCGTATACTTCCATTTCAGGCGGGTGTCCCACGGATTGTAGGGCGGGAATACCTGGTAATCGTATCCAATCTGCTGCTGTATTTATCATATTATTTGTTACAAACAATGCTGTTATAGCACACAGTCAGCACGTCGGCGCCGATTGTTTTCGACTGTGGACGTGCCGCGCCCTGTCCAACCAGGGCCACCTTCTCTGTCAGCAGAGGCCCAAGTTCGCCGCCCTCCTCCTACCACGAGTGCAGAACAATTCCGCCTGCTAAGACATCGCCCCACCATGCCACGCCGTTGAAGCCTCGAATCTCGGGTCCCCTCGTTGTTACTCCTCACACAATTGCCCCTTCCAATTCACCTCTCCCGACCCTTCACAGCCGCCCCCCACCCACAATCAAAACCTATACAGATGCCCTCCACCCTCCTCGCCTCCCCCACGAGCGCGCACTCCTTTCGCCCCCACCTCCGTCCCCTTCGTCCCCTCCCTCCCTCTATGGGGCTCTCCTTGCCCATAGCGCCCGTTCACCTCGATTCCTTCTTCAACTTTCCCAGCCTCCCTCCGCGCCAGAAGTCCACGTCGACCTCGCAGCTGACGCCCCTTCTCCATCCCATCGTCGATCTGCGCAAATGACAGACGAAACTAGGTGTAAAAGCCACCTAAGACAAATTCGGCACACCCCCGTATGAGCCTGAAGCCAGGTGTTATCTCTTTTTGACTCAACTCGCCGCGCGGCCAACAACTGCCCTGTGCGTCCGTCTGGTGCGGGCGGTCGGATGCGCAGGGTCTTATCTGTGATATTTGCGAACGGGGAGTGGGTCAGCGGGACGAGGACGGCGCTTTTGGTCGGGGGGCGCCACTTTAACGATGCGGGGAACTCACAGGACTTGATACCGCGGATGCGGCATAACTGGTACATGGGGGGCTTTTCGCACAAAGTCATGTGCAGTAGCGGGAAGCCTGGGTCGTCGGAGTGCGGGATGAAGCTGTAGAAGAGGAAGTCCCCGAGGGGACGAGCTCGTCGTCCGCGGCGTGGCCACGCGTCTCGTCGAAACGGCGGCAAGCAATGATGAGCGAGTGGTCCTCTATCGGATGGAAGACCACTCGCCCATCATTTCGTGGATGGAGTCAATTCACGCAAAATCGATGCTCTCCAGGTTAGGGACGCGCAGGTCAACGGCGAATTTATTGAGGGCAATCCTGTCAAGATTGTCTCGTACCTACAGAGAATTGGGCTCATTGTCGCCTCCCCATTCCAGTCTGGATGGAAAAGGGATGGATGGGAACGGGACAGCGCAAAGGGGTGGGAAAAAGAGCTACTGCAAGGTAGAGGGCAGCGGGCCGGCGCAGGGGGGCCTGCGCGGACTGGGTGCTCAAAAAACAAGGTAGACTGCGGCGGTGGGGTGTAGGAGGAAAGGGAAAGGAAGGGGGAGATGAAAAGGGAGTGGGGGTTGGGAGGGGACTCAGATGCCCTGCAAGGTCTCGTTGATCTCTTCGGGGTCCTGCTGCAGGCTCTGGATATCGTCTTTAAAGGCCTTCATCTGCTTCTCGTTGCCGACGTTAAAGCTGGCGTCCTCTAGGGCGTCGAGCTGGCTCTGTTTGACGACGACCCTCGTCTCGTAGCTTGCGATCTTCTGCTTGAGGCGGGTGGCGTTGGGCATGTGGGCCTTGGCGACGTTGATGTTCTTGTCGTTGCGGGCCTTGATGGCGAGCCGGGCCTCGCCGCGGCGCTCCTCCTCGAAGCCCTACCCCTTAAACAAGGAAGCTATGTGCCTCCGCCCGTGTGCCACTCGCTGCAGACAAATCATGTCGAGATAAAGTTTGATGCGTGTAAGACTTTTATTCGAGCATCAATCCGACTCAACTTCAGACACTTCCCCCTCCATATTTGCCTCTGCATTAGCGAGTTCTGGTAAAGTAGAGGTTCGTGTGAAGGTTGAGGATGGTTCAGTATGCATATGTAACTCGTAGTTCTCATGTATCTGCATGACATTATCTAGATTTTCCGTCTTGATACGCGATCTCCGTTGGTCTGCTATAATGCCAGCAACAGAGAAGGAACGTTCGTTGTCCACCTGCGATCCCGGAATAGCAAAAAACGCGGTTGCCAAAATAAATACATGGGAATAAATGTCCCTCTTCCCACCAAACCATCCCATGGCATCCCCGAACGAATTATTCCCATCGTATTTGTCTGTCCTAAATCGCATTAGTTCAGACTTCATCATTTTCTTGACGTCTTCATCGCGCTTGTCTACTCCACTTGCGTTGAAAAAAGGGTTGATAGAATCCGTACCTTCAGTCCCGTCGGCATCAGGAACGTCGAGCTCACTCCCTCTCGACTTCGTCTCCTCATTAAAGATCGCGACTAAGTAATCTACAATGGTAACGTCGTACGTAGCGATCAACGCTTTTCCAGTGCAACAATCATGCTCGAGAGAAGAATTTTCAGACACTTGAATCGAGGTTCGAGCATTAATGCTATCATAGAGTGCCCACGAGATAAACAATTCTGCAAGATACGATCCTCCTCGAAAAAGGCTCGGAGGTATTTCTTCAAAGTCTTCGAAACATCCTCACTAACTCTCTTTGCCCATGTGTGCAGCTCACCCTCCAACACTGACTTCTCCTCCTGTTGCAACGTAACTCCAGCACCCTCCGTGTAATTAACTTTGTATGAATCTAGAAGTGTAAAGCAAAGGGCAATTGCGTCGGACAAACCCTATTTCCGTGATCTTTGGTTTTGTACACATGCCTTTATGATAGGCCCCATGTGCTCCGTCGCCGCCTTCACAACTGCCCAATCTGCGTTTGATGGGTCTCGGTGGCTGTTGCTGTAATTATTGGGATCGGCATAGCAGGCATGCACTGCTTCACGATATGCAAGCATTTGGCTAAACATAATAAATACAGAACCGAAGCGTGTCTTAACCGGAGTATAGAGCTGAACAGGGCGAAGACCTATCTTTCGACAGGCTGCATGCCACATCTCATTTTCTTTGCCAGTCTTCTTTGTCCATAAAATAGCGAGCTGTAGTTTCTTTTGGACTTGTATCAGATTGAAGACATCGAAATTACTGCATTGGTCTTCTGATAGAGCTCGACGGCATATTGAACTGATGATGTGTGCCCAATAATCACCCTTATAGACACAGTATATGTCGAGGGCTCCACAAAAAACGATCCCTTGCAGTTCTCGTGGACATGTATTCAAGTTAGCTCCACCATCCGGTACGTATGCCACAATCTTTTCTTTGATGTTGAACTCGTCGAGAACATCCGTGAGATGCAGGGCTATCTGAGATCCAGAAGTCGAATCCATCTTGATCATTCGCAGGTAGCGAGTACGTCGCTGTAAAGAATCATCAATCCAATAGGCGATAACCGAGAAAATGTCTTGGCAGCCGCGGGTCATCCAGACGTCAAAAGAAATGGAAACAAATCTTGCACTCCTGAGGTGGGCGACTACAGAATCTTTAGTCTGCTTGGCCAAGGCCGGGAGCATGACCTCTGTAAACTTTTTACGGGAAGGGAAAGAAAGACGAGGATCAATGTCACCCAAAAGCTTCCTCATCCACACACAGTCAACTCCTGAAGACGGTCGGAGAGACTTACAGCAAACTAATATCATGTTGCGGATCAGATTCTTCTGCATATCACTTGTTACTGCATAAGGAGTAGTTTTGAAATGAATTCGATGATTTCTTATCTTCCTCTTCTTCTTCGGACGGTTCGCATTGTTTCCATGCAGATTAGCGACATATACCACATAAAGGGATTTGTGCTTTACATTAACGTGATTGATAAGAGAGGAACTTCCATTCTTCCTTTTATACGCCATCTTCGTTTTGCATAGGGAGCAGCACAATGCGACAGAATCTGCAGTCATGTCCACCGCCGTATCGTAAAAGGCCCAGATTGGTGCTTTCTTTATGTCAGCAGATCCGTCGAGCCATGCAGTTGCATTCGCAAATAATGCGTCATGGCCAGGAGGAGCCTCCGAAGAAACGTTTGTGCTCGTTTCTATGGTCTCTGATGAGGTGATTAGGGAACCCCTTCCTGTGGCGTCGGTAATGCCTCCACTCGCGCACCGCTCCCTGTATATTATTAGTTTTGACTGTTTTCGTGGATATCCGTGTGCGGTTTTTGGGGTTTGGGCGGATAATCCGACAAACCGTGTTTCAAAAATCTGTCAATACGGATAATCCGGGAAACCGCTTTACGTGCTATGCGATCAACGGGTTTTTGGGAAACCATATCCATTTTCGAAATTGTAATATCGCGGATATCCTAAAACCGCTCGAGTCCAAAATGACCCAGGGATAGCATTTATCTATCCATGGATAGTGTCCAAAGGGGTATCCGCGCACCATTGGTTGGAACGGGGCTGCCGAGCGGCGGCGACGGTCACCCAGGGACGCGGGGGCGGGGGGACCTGGGCGGGGGAGAAATGGGCGGGTTGAGCGGGGCAGGGAGGCAACGGTGATGTCGCAGGCGTATGCGGCGGCAGTGTCGCAGGCGTAGGCGTACGCGGCGACTGTGTCGCGCACGGATTTTCAAGCGATGTCGCACGCGAATTTTCGAGCGACGCGCTCAAGCTGCTTCCGCCGTACGCGTCCGCGCATGGCGCGAGGACGGCGGCGCGGAGCGGGTGCGGCGGGCGAGGGGAGCGGGGGGATGGCGAATTCGCCGTCGCCATGTGTGTGTGCGTGTGTGTGTGTGTGTGTGCTTGAAACATGAAGTGTAGGCCTCTTCTCGTTACGGTAACCTACAATATATACAGTCGATATGTGGTGTAGTACATACGTCGCATGCCATCCTTTCTTCACTTCTCAGCCGTATGTTTCTCGCGAAAAAAGGAAGCGAAGAGTTGCATGTCTTACCGCAACGCTGTAGTGTAAAAGTCACTTCCACAGGCAACGTATTCTGGCAGTGCACGGGCTTCAGATACAGTATATACAAATTGACGCGAAGCTGTTCGTCAAAACGCTTTCGGGTCGTAAACTTCAGGTAGCGAAATCTCTACATTTTTAAATAGCAATAAATATTGGAGCAAAGTCAACAAAGTGATCAATGCTCGTGAACTCGTGCGGAGTCTCTTCCTAGGCGGAAGATCAAAAAAACTCCTAATGAAGCTATTAGGATAGAGAAGACGGCGATGACGGCGAAGCTCGACGAACTGTATGTCGGCGGCGCTATCATCACATACCAAAAGAGGCTGAGATCCCCGAATAGAAACAGCGGTTCCATCTTGTTTTTCAACAAAGGCAGGCACAACCAAGATGTCACCCACAATATCAATATTCCCACAGTGACAAATCGCAGAATTTGAACAATTCGGCGTGGATTCTTCCTCTTCGTCAATCTGACCTCGCTTATCAATGCAAGTAACGGCACTAGAGAATGCTGTCTAGTTAAATGATATATTCCCTGCACCGCCGCAGCCCCAAAACAGACTGCACGGCAAGAAGAGAAAATGAGATGAAACAACTCGGTCAGTATCGCAAATTCTCCCAAGGCAAAAGTCACCGCATGCTTCAACAGTACGGAAGTCGGAAGTGCAGCAAATACTCACTCGCTACATCCGAGACGCGAATCGGGCAATTCCTCGCCTCAATAGAATCATTGACGTCAACAAAAACGCTTTCCATCGGGGACACAGTGGACAAATCCTGGAGCAGCTTCAGCAGGGAAATAATAAGCGTGACCAGCTCCATCGCAATATACAAGATGGCGGACAAGATCAAAAGATGTCTGTCAATCCTCCCGCCCTTGATGCGCTGACACAGCGAGAGCGATCGATACCTCATCTGCACCAGCTCCGCCGGGGTAGAGTCATGCGACTCTTCCATCTGGTGGAGCTCGAACGTCTCGGCCGCGCCACTGTGCTCGCGCCTATACCACGGGCTGAGATAGATGCGCAAGTTGGGGTACCAGGTTTTCGTCTTGACGACATACCCGGTCGCGATGCAGGTCATGAGCAAGCTCTCATGGTACAGGCTCGACAGGACCGCGGTCGCCCAGGTCAGATACGCGCCGCCGACATCTGCACCGTTGTCGTCGCCGGGCACCTGCACCGTGACGGCGACGAGGGCCAGGGAGAGTTTGACGGCGAAGATGATGCACAGCCTCGCCAGGACGATGCATGCCAAGCGCAGGGTGAGATGGGATCTGCTGGTCTCCCAGCTGGAGGCGATGTTGTACAGAATGTTGGCGAGCGCGACACTGGCCGCACTGGCAAAGACGGCGAATGCGTAACGGGAGGCGGAGTTTCCCAGCGCGGGGCGGGGCTGGGCGACGTCGCGGACGCAGAGCTTTGCAGTACCTTCTTCGTCAAGCTCGGCAGAGTCTGGCTCGACGACGACGGACGGGCTGGGAAGCATTTCGCCGGCTGTAGGCTCCCCGTCGACAGCTGGTTGCGCGGGTTCGGGCCGGGGGCTTTGCTCTTCTACGGAGTCGTCACCGAAGGCCGGCTCCGGATCGGAGGTCGTAACGGGGTCCTCGGCGGAGATGCCCTGGGGGGAGTTGCCCTGGGGATCGAGGCTCTCGGAGGAGGTTTCCGGGGTGTCGGCGGGGACGCCGCCGGTTTCCCCGGAGCCGGCAGGGGGGGCGTCGGTTTCTGGCGAGGCCTCGCCTATGAGCCCTGCTTGGGCGCTTGGCTGCAGAACTTGGGTGGAGCAGGTGGGGCAGCCGTCGGGAGACCCGTCTTCGCTTCCAGAGTCTTCTTCGACTGGAGGGCCATCTTGGCTTGGAGGCCCGTCGCCTGAAGGCCTGATGCCTCCAGGCGGAGGCCCGGGACCTGGCGGAGGCCTGGGACTGCGCGAAGGCCGCCCGGGACGGCGCGAAGGCCTGGGACGGCGATCAGGGCCACGGGTTGCGGTGGGGACGATCCCTGGGCCGGCCCCGGCGGGTGGGGGCTTCGCGGAAGGGCTACTCACGCTTGCGGCGGGAAGGGCAGTTGGCGACGGGGGAGGTGGTGGCGGAGGTGATGGCGGAGGTGAGGGTGGAGGTGAGGGCGGAGGTGAGGGCGGAGGTGAGGGGGCAGCTGAGGGTGGAGGCGAGGGCGGAGGCGAGGGCGTCGGGGAGGGCGGCGGGGAGGGCGGCGGGGAGGGCGCGACATTGGGAATATCCGGGACGTAGGACGCGTGGGCGACGGCGAGGAGGGCCAGGGCGGCGATGGCGAAGCGCATAGCGGACGAAGAGTCGGGGCGTGTGCGAGGCGGGAATTGGGAGGCGCGGGCCGGGGAGGGGCCATGGCTGCGCGACAGATGAAGTATGCATTGCTCCTAGGAGCAGTGAGGCGGAGCGTGTTGCATTGCAAGGGCGGGCAGCGGGAATGGAGGAGCTCGGCGGGTGGGGCGCGGTGCCGACGTGGATGCGCGCGCAGGGGTTTCGTTGAGCGCGGCATTGCTACACATGGCGCAGGCGAGGCGGGCAGGGTGTGCGGCGGCCAATGACGGCGGAGGGTTGCGGGGCGGTTTACACGCGCCGGCGGAGGAGGGGCGGCCACATTATGGGCACGCGCGTGAAGTGGAGAGAGAGCGCTGCTCCTACAACTTGTATGGGGGCGTCATTTTGGCGCGCGCCGGGCGCACGGGATCCCGACGGGATGGAGTACTTGGCGTAATATTAATGGTGCATGGCGGGCTTGCGCCGGCCGCCATCCGGGCGGTTCCCTCTGTCAACCCGTCTCCCGTGGGGGAGAGCGGCGGCCTGCGGTGACTTTATGTGCTGATACGTCGTACCCTATGTGGCTGTGCCTTATCTACTGTGTTGTCCTATCTGGATGGAACGGAGGGTGGAGGGAGGATGGAGGGCCTGGAGGGGCCCTGTAGGGTGGCCTGGAGCCCCTCCAGGGCTAAGACGGCGCAGTAGATAAGGGCGTGCCTTTAGGGCACGTCAGACACGCACGTATTAACGCCTCCTTCAGAGCTCGCCTCGGTGTTCTTTGCATCACAAGCCGAGGAGCGGTCCGGGTTCGCCGGCGGCGAATGGGCGCGGGACAACTCACGCGGCTCTTGTCATATGCCCCTGTGATACCCTGTGACAAAGATAAAGAAGAGGACGTGTACAGTGCGAGAAACTGAAATAAATTCACTCATCGACAGCAACAAAAATGCCACTTCCTGAAAGTACGTCCCCTCGTGTGCCGTTGTGTGCCCCGCACGGAGAAGCCCGCTTTTCAAACGCCCGACATTCGTGAGAGGCATGGATGGGCAGCGAGTCGTGGCCAGCCGCATTTACAGTTTGAGGCATCTTCTCGTTTGTATGCCCCGTTGAGCGGCCGCAGATGGAGCCGCTCTGAGCCGCTCCATGCCTGCTTGGCATCGCAGGCAGTTGCAACTGCTCACCAAGCTGCTCTACCAAATTGCTCACCAAGCTGCTCACCAAACTGCTCATCGACTCGAAGAGATACACTCCCGTCGCAAAACACCTTCCCCCACTGTTATTCCATCTTCGCATGCAGGACGAAGGGCAAACCCTTACTGTATCCTAAAAAGGTACACCGTACTGCGCACTGTGTATCACTGCATATACAGTAGGCTCTCTTTAAAAGAATGACCCGCAAAAGAATATTCTTTTAGCATACAAGAATACGACATTGCGAACAACGAAGCTTACACCTGCCATTTTCGGTCATCCCAGCCATGTACTGTACAGTGCAATCGCGATAATTGGGACTGTACGGTGGATTGATTTCTGTCCCAATTATCACGACGTCCCAATTTTCGAGAGCTCGCCTGAACACGTGTAACGACACGTGTGCCCCTCGCAGGTTCATTTATTGATTCACGCATCCAACGTTGACTGTTTCGCAGCACAAGTAGATCAACGACTGACATAGCCGGTGAATGCGAGATTTGGCGTTCATCTCGAGGAAGGCTGGTCACCCCGAAATGATCCCTCCTGCTACAGGGACGCCGAACAACCTATGGGATACTGGGAGAAAACCGAATAATCATATCATTTGCTTCACTACTTGACCTTTCTAGTAGGCATGGTCGATTTGCACAGTGATTATGTGTTCTCCGCTGTGCCCTTACTGTACCTGTGGAGCGCGAAGCACCTCCACAATTATTAATCAATTACTGAGAACAAGGATCATTACATTAAAGATTGACGAACATATAATATTGTCCGTAATCTGTTGACAGCGCTGTAAATTCTGAAAATAGATACTTACTGCTGCGACTGTCAATGACCACGGCTTGGACAGCATACAACAATGCGCTTGATTGAATTCTCTTCCCGCCCATTTTCAAAACTCAAGGCACAAAACCCGGCCAATCCGTTTCACCATAAAACCCATATATGCCTGACGAGGAAGCGGAGTAAATGCGCGTCAGTTGCATATCACAGGAACTAAAAGGATCACTGTAGTGGAGGCCGACCTCGGCAGTTAGTGATGATTTATGAGGTTATGCCGTAAATGCGACGCCATTTCATTCATTTTGGTCTGAAAGCATGATTTTGTAGATAGTGTGTATTCCACTGGGCACATCATCTATGATGCGGTGGACTGTGAACACTCTCAAGACCTACTGTACAGCCTCAGACAGTCACACAAACAAATCAATTGACCCGTATCTGGAAATTTTTTATTCAAAATCAGGGATCTGCAAATCATATTGCGTAAAACGAAAGCGATGATTCACAAGTTGCCTGCGCTTCTCTCTGTACCTCTGCAGGACCCTTCTCCTTTTATCAATTGCAGTTTCTGCAATCTGGTGCATGCGATTACGCATGCGAGTAAACCTCTCGTGGTCGGGAGCGCGAAGAGACTGCCACTTAATGTGACAATTGGTTAACGCAACACCGAGACGAAAATAGTGGTCATAGATAGCCTCTCCCAACCTCCACTTTCGTGACAAGAGGATCTAAAGCCCACAAAGTCTCCCGAAAAAATTCTCTACGAAAATCCGGTCACTCGACAGCTTGCGGTTGTATCTCTCATTGCTGAGAGAAAGGCTTCCATTTCTCGGAATCTTCAGGGGGGTCACTCCTCGCAAAAACTGGGCCACGCCCTGGTAGCCCTTGTCCATGAGTGCAGCCCACATCTGAGGGTGCTCGACACTCAGCGTTCCTATGTCTTCCACATCTTTCTCAGAACCAATTTTGGCCAACTGTGGCAAATGCCAGTCACGATTGCGCTGTAGAATCTCAAAATCGGAAATTGACCCCGGGTAGTGGGCGGTCATGCCGAGAGCCAAACCGTTTGGCAGTACGGAAACCTCAACTTTGAATCCGTATAATTTGTGTTTGCCCCTAAAATATCTCTTGCCTTCTTCGAGGCTACAGCTGGGTCTGAATGCCTGTTGGAACGTCACGTCCGTGGCGTATCGAGCCTCCGGAAAAGACTTGAACATCTGCTGCGAATCGCGGAGATCGGACATTTTGTTGAGGTCCCCGACCTTGTCTACCAAGCAGTCAAACAAATATTGAGAAATTAAAGAAACAAACCGTGTGACCAAGCGCTCGAACTGTGGGATAACTCCTGTCCTCCCTGGGTTGGGTGAGAGGCGGAGGCTTTAGCGAGGGAGCACGCGGCGCGGACGCGACGCGCCAATTGAACCGATCGGACGAGCTCGCGAAAAGGGAGTGGCTCACTGGCCGGTTACGCGCAGTCCCCCCGTGGTGCGTGAACAGGAGCGACCGGTAACGGGTTAGAAGCCAGCGCGCGCGACAGACAACCGAAAACGGACGTACGTAGGCGCAAAAGGGACGGGGGCGAGCTTGCCCCAGTTTACCGGTAGGGACGGGTGTCAGGTCTTAACCCCGCAGAGGGACGCCTCGGACACCTGTCCTAGTACAGTAGTACAGCACCTGCCGCCTAGTGCGTGCCAGGTACTGTACACAATTAAAAAGCTAGCGCCATAATTACTACTACCGCACGGACGCTGCTACTACACGTGTGCATTACTGCACACGCGTGTTGCTTACAAACTACCGCACGGACGACACGTGTGCTAACGCGCACACGTAACACGCGTAGACTACCGCACGGACGACACGTGTGCTACTGTACACGTGCGCCACGCCACGGCCGGTTGGTCAACGCGCGCGCTCCCTACACGTGGGCACACCCGCCCACGTGTGCACCGTGCACGGCCGCACGGTTAATAACCTCCCCGCGCGCTCGCCGGTCGTTATACTACACGAACGTCGGCTCTTTCATGTCGAAGACACGGGCCAACATATCCCATTGTCCTCCGTGCTTCAACAGGGTCATTGTGTTGAATAGAGCGTCCTTGCCAGATACTTTGGACCTCTGTCCTCGGCCGATATTGTATGTCTGGTTGACATATTCAGAAACGTGGTTCCACAGGAGTTCGAAGTTGCGAAGCAAAAAATTGGTCATATTCCTGATGGCCTCTGCGCCACC